GTTCCCAAAATGTGGTCAACAGAATGCAGCATCAATACAGGACTTACTTTTTTGCATGAAATGTAAATGACCTGCCCCACCCCACCTCTATTCAATCTGATGCTCAGGGGGTAGGCCCCAGCCAACTGCACTTTAACTATCAGGACAGGGGTATCTGCAACCCACTACTATTCACTCCAATGCTCCATTTCAACCTTTCCTCATCCATTAGCTTTTCCAGTACAGCGTACATTAGTAGGCACTACACACTTGCTGAGTCACTCTTCCTTTCCTTTACCCTGGCCTTCCATTCACCATTCTGCATATGTTCTTTCCTCAGCATATTTCTCTCTACATCTCTCACATCTTGGAATCTGTTCACTTCTTCCTGAATCAGCAAATCCAGTTTGCTGTCCTTTTCTGTCTGGTGATTGTCAGCATGTCTGCTTAAGAAATTCTCATAGCACTTCCTGGAAGAGAGATGAGGAGGATTGCAAGAGAAGAAAGCCTTTGGTTTCAATTGTTTTGGAACTTACTTTCATGAGAAGGAGTAGCATGTATCATCTACTATGGAGCAGAGACTTATAAACTTGAATGTGCAAAGGAGAATTTGTTTTTTAAAATGCATAGCTCTTGGTCAGATTCTGGAATGCATACATTTGAGCATGACTCCCCCAACCCATGAGTTTGAAGTCAGTCGTCCTTGACCACTGAGAGAAACCCTGTACCAAGGAGAATTGGTGGCGTAAGGCTGTTCTGCTTCTCCCCTTTGCAAATTCCACATTCACGGAAACCTATGCAAACAAAACAAGAATTAAAAAAAAACAACTGAGTGCCTGTATCATTCCGTAACATTTTCATATATTTAGCCTTTAAAGATATGTAAGATATGTTAGTGTTTAGATCTTTAAATTCTGAGATTCTCAAGATAAGGAAAAGTTATTAACACTCAGAAAAACCATTAACACAGATGGAATTGTGCTGTTAGGTGTGAAAGTTATTCTTGAAATAATAGATATCCTGATTAGTTCAGGAACAAATTTGAATAAGCTAAAGGCCTGGGCACTGTTTCTGAGCTTTTTTGTTCAAGACTAGTGCTCTGTCACTTGAACCACAGATCCCCTTCTCACTTTTTTGATGCTTAACTGGAGACAAAAGGAAAGAAGAAAGAAAGAGGAAGAAAGAGAAGAAGGAAGGAAGGAAAGAAGGAAAGAAAGTGAAAAAGCATAAAACTAATCAATGGTAATCTTAGGTCTCAGTTAGTATTTATGGTCTTTGCCAGAAATGTGGGCGCTATGTATGATTTCTGCCACTAATACATACAAGGCTTTGTGGAAAATAATTTGAGAAAAATAATCTTCTTCCAGGTGACAACTAATTGCAACATAGGTTTTGGAGAGAATAAAACTTCCCAGGGGCTGGGAAGGTGGCTCAGTGTTAGAGTGCTTGCCTTGCATGCATGAGGCCCTGGGTTCAATTCCTCAGCACCACATAAGCAAAAAGAAAAAAGCCGGAAGTGGCGCTGTGGCTCAAGTGGTAGAGCGCTAGCCTTGAGCTGAAGAGCTGAGGGACAGCGCCCAGGCCCAGAGTTCAGGCCCCACAACCGCCCCCCCCCAAAAAAAAACATAAAACAAAACAAAACAAAAACAAACTTTACAATCTTTGAGCTAGCTATATGGCTCCAGTGGTGGAGTGCCTAGTAGGTGTGATCCCTGCATCCCTGAGTTCAAATGCCTGTGTCACCAAAATAATCCTAGCTACTCAGTAGACTGAGATCTGAGGATCTTGGTTCAAAGCCAGCCCAGGCAGGAAAGTCCATGAGACATCCCCTACTCCCACCTCACCCATCATAGGGCTTCAATTTAGGGCCTGGGCACTGTCCCTGAACTTTTTCACTCAAAGCTAGCATTCTACCACTTTGAGCCAGTGTTACTTCCAGTTTTCTGGTGATTTTAATTCAAGATAAGAATCTCACAGACTTTCCTGCCCAGGCTGGCTTTGAACCACAAACCTCAGATATCATCCTCCTGAGTAGCTAGGATGGCTTCTCACTTTATTTCTAAGGGAATTTTTTAATTTTATTGTTTGGCAATGTCATCTCAACAGTTCTACTTGTAAAGTGTTAAAATTATAGCCAGGCATTGGTGTCTTCAGCCTCAGTTGTGTGAGCAATGTGATATCCTAGCTTCCTTACTATCAACCTGAAGAATGAATTTCATGTAATTCAGATGAAAGATTTTTTTTTTTTTTTTTGGTCAGTCATGGGGCCTGAACTCTGGGCCTGGGTGCTGTCCCTCAGCTCTTCAACTCAAGGCTAGTGCTCTACCACTTGAGCCACAGTGTCACTTCCTTTTTCTGCTTATGTGGTGCTGAGGAATCGAACCCAGGGCCTCATGCCTGTGAAGCAAGCACTCTACCACTGAGTCACCTTCCCAGCCCAGCATAACACACTTTGTATTGATACCCTATGGGCTCTAAGATGGATCAACAACTGAAAATTTGTATCATTTGTGTTATACTATGTATATCCACCTTTGGTCCTCAGCTCCACCCAGACCTGAGCTCCTCCCTACCCTGGAGTTCCTGCCACACAGCTGGCCCCTCCCTCTCTCTGCCCAGACCCACCTGAACTCCCATCTACTTCACTTCCTACCCCCCAGATCCTGCTGCTACCTAGTGGAGGCTGCCATGTGCTCTCTCTCCCGGAAATATGGCTCCTCTAATAAACCTTGTGATCTTTCTCCTGTGCCTGTCTGCCTCTGCGTGGTCCCCTGGCATGGATGTGACAGATCCTTTCATTGATCCTTTCATTGGTGGTCCCTTTTCTTAATTCTTTTCTTCTTCTAATAAGCCACTAATTTGAGCTATAATAATTATTTTTGGTAAGTGCTACTGGATAATACAGCAAAGAGAGACAGAAAAGGATTGCTGAACTCCATCCCATGAGTTTCTGACTCTGTAGACCCAGGGAGAGTCTGAGTATTCTATGTCTGATTTTGTCATTGGTCATGTTTTGAGAACTGATTTTTCAAATTTTAACACACACACACACACACTTTCTGCAGATCTTGTTAAGATTGAGTAGGTCTGGGTTGGTAGTAGGTCTGGGTTGGTGTTTGGGACAGTGATGTTAGTGGTGGTGATATTGGTTAGGCTTGGAGTTGTGAGGAATTGAGGATTATGACCTTTGTTTCTGCCTCCAGGGCTAGCAAATTGTTTACTTTGGTGTTAAGTATAGTTTAAGTGCCTAAATCTTAAACCTTAGGTCAACATAATGAGTCCAACTCTTGTTACTAACTCCACTGTCCTTGCTTTTGGCTACCACCATAATGGGCTGTACTATTTCAACAGACTCCTACCTGGTCTCCTAACTTCTGCTCTCACTCCTCTCTCCCACCTCCAATCCACACTCTCTGTAAATTCTTCACACCCTGGGGCAAGAGTGATTTAAAGCAGGTTGATCACAAAACTAAGATTCTCTATTTTCACTCAGCAAAATACCAGTACTAACAGTTGGCTTTCGGGCTCTCTATATAAGATTGGCCCCTTTTTATGTCTTTGATATCCTACTCTTAGATTTAGCCACTGTGGCCTCCTTGCTAGTCCTTGAACTTCCTCTCAGATACTCAGCACACTTCCTCTCAGATCCTCCTGGTATTTGGTATTTCTTTTAGTAGAGACTCTATTCCTGGCTCAAGTCAGCAAGGCTTTTCTTGACCTTCCTGTGGTCTCCATTCATTAGTTGACAAGTCTTACTTTTTTCCTCCCTACTTGACTTTATGAAAAGAGATTTTTGTTCAGATTCCATAGCAGTATTTTTAGTATATGCAGTAAGGTGTTCAATACATACTTGAATGAATGGGTAAGACACTTTACAGCTATCTGGTTTATCTCAAGGCCAAGAGGCTGCTTGCTGTTGTTTCTCTAGGCTCCCTCAGGATGCACTGTTGCCACACAGTATTACTCATTTTATTCTCCGGGGAACAGTGGGTTTGGTAGAGCTCCCTTTTATATCCTTTTTTTCCCCTCCAGTGAATAAAAGTACAAATTTATTTATTGTTGTCATGCAATATTATGTTGCTGAATTTTCCACTGATTATATTCTTTTGCATCAATTTCTATCCAGCACTTGCTTTCTCATTTTCTGCTTGCTGCCCATAACCACTCCACTGGAAACCTGGCATAAAAATTCTCAAATTGTCTTTGTGGCTGGGAATGTGACTTAGTGGCAGAGTGCTTGTGTAGCAAGTATGAGGCCGTGGGTTCAATTCCTCTGTACCGCATAAACAATAACAACAAAAAAGAATTGTTTTTAATTCAACATTCAGTTTCAAGTTTTAGGTAAATATAAACAAAGGAAAATAACTAATAACTCAAAACTCAGGCCTATTGGACATATGTCATCTCAGGGTAGCTGAAGGTCATTGTTTAACGTTGAATTTTCTTAAGACTTCAAAAGACACCAACCATACTCAATCCGGACGCATTCTACAGAGAATGCCTGGGTGACTGGGTGGCAGTTTTGCGGATGAGTCGTCGTTTTATCCTGACCTTTTATTTTGGGTGGGGGTGTGTGTGTGCTAGCAATGCAGGCAAAAGAAATTGTAGAAGCCGGAATTGTACCACCCATTCCGTGCATCTCTCACAGGCAGAAACCTTTGACCTCCCCCCCACCACCAAATAAGGACTTTACACTGAGCAGTCGCCAGCTCTAAGAGCTTGCCGCTTGACTCCTATTGTCCCCGTTTGGATGTCAAGCAACTTCGCCTGAAGGACCCCAGCTTCGATTTCGCGCAAAACTCAAGACACCGCTCCCGAAGTCTTCGGGAAGCCAGTTGAGACTGGGTGATGAGCAGCTGTCTCTCGGCGCAGGAGGCTTAGGACCGGCGAGGAGGCCTGTGAGAGGTCCTTCCAGACAGGCGTTCGCCTCGGGCAGCCCGAGCGGCCCGAAGGCCCCCCCTCCCGGCTCTCCGCTGTTCCCGCCCCCTGCGCCCTAGAGGGCTGAGTGGCTGAGTCCCACCCGCGCCAGCTCCCATCTCATTAGGAGCGGCTCAGTGCAGCGGGACGGGGCGAAGCGGCTGGCGCCCGCGGAGCGCACCACACTGCCCGGAACGCGGCACCATTCTCGTCCCTCCAGCTGCTCCCCCGGGACCTTCCAGCGGCTTCGCGCGCGCACGGTGAGCGCCATCCCGGATCGAGGAGCTGCAAAGGGAAGAGGGCCGCCGTGCACCAAGTGTCCTTTCTCTCGGGAGCGCCTGGTCCCAAG